TTTTTTTCCTTTTTTTTCTTATGTCTGTGTGGGGGGGGGGGCGGGGGGGCGGCACCCCTCCCACCAATCGATCAATCGAAGAAAAAAAAAAGTGAGCAAGAGTGTATGTGTGTGTATGTCTATGTGTGTGTGTGTGTGTCTATGTGTGTGTGTGTGTGTGTGTGTGTGTGTGTGTGTGTGTGTGTGTGTGTGAGAGAGAGANTGTGTCTATGTGTGTGTGTGTGTGTGTGTGTGTGTGTGTGTGTGTGTGTGTGTGTGTGAGAGAGAGAGAGAGAGAGAGAGAGAGAGAGAGAGAGAGAGAGAGAGCGAGCAGGTAAGTCTCAAACCTCGCAGCTGGCCTCATGGTACTTCCATCGATATGGTGATCAAAATTGAATGAATCACTTATAGAAGATTGAAGTATACACTGCCAGACTCGTTTTTTGGCAAATTGTGCGCGCACATGTGTGTGTGGGTGTGGGTGTATGTGTGTGGGTGTGTATGTGTGTATGTGTGTGTGTGTATGTGTGTGTGTGTGTATATGGGCATGTGTATTTGTGTGTGTGAGAGAGAGAGAGAGAGAGAGAGAGAGAGAGAGAGAGAGAGAGAGAGCAGGTAAGTCTCCAACCTCGCGGCTGGCTTGATGGTACATCTATCGATAGGATGAGCAAAATCGAATGAATCTACTGCTAGAATATGAAAATATATACTTCTGCCGCTAGAACATGAAAATATATACTGCCACACTCGTTTTGTCTGTTGCGACGCGTGCGCGCGCGCGTGTGTGCGTGTGTGTGCGTGTGTGGGGGGGGGGCGACCACGAATCAATCAATCAATCAAGATTTTTATTTTTATTTTTCCAACCCACTCGCTCCCAATTTTTTTTGTTTTTTTATGTGAGGGGGTGGGGCCGGGGTTGCGCAACCCCAATCAGCGCCCAAACCCTCCCTAACCCCCCCCAATGGTCGGCACGTGGCTGCAAAGTCGCGCGGCCAGACGACCATGACTGGGGGGTTGTCGTCCCGGCCTTGGCCGCGCATGGCGGCCTCCGTGGGGGATTCGTAGCATATCAGGCATGTGGATTGGGAAAAGTGATAAAGTGGGATGAGAATGGTTCATATGGGAATGCGTACACATTCCAAAAACAAAGATGTATCTAGAGGTAGCTCAATTGTAACAACAAATAACGAACCATAACGACAAACATCAAAAATATTACAAAAAGCTATAAATTTTCTAAATAAAACGTGGCAGGTAGAGTTTAATCTATAGGGTACGAATCAACTTGTCCCAAAATGAATAGAATGCAACGATACGACATCACTTACATATGGAAAGAATGTCACAGTGCTATGCTTCACGTACAACGTTAAAGACATGTTTTTTAATTTGGACCATACACATGTCGTTAACGCCATGCAATAGATGTCGAGTACAGCAAGAGAGAAAATGAAGACCCATCTGTGTTATAAATTAAGGGGAAGATATGTAAACTTTGGTAAAGCAAATGGTACATATGGATGGAAAACAGTGAAGATTGATATACTAAACGATCTATGATATTATGACATTCACCATGCATGTTTTATATTGCAAGGTATATTACTGTGACAAATTAAAGGTGTTCCCATGGGAAAAGGATTTAGCCCACCGATAGCGAACATGGTCTGCGCATATGACGAGTACAAATGCTGCTATAAAATTGGCATGGATAAAAAACTCGTACATGGGATGCGATTTGTCGATGATTTAATGCTCATAATAATTGCAAATCTAAACAACAACAATACAAGAGAAATTGCATGCATGAATTAATTCATAAAATGTTTCCATTCATTGCTAAAGTTAGAATCCACATCAAATACACAAAGTACAAAATGAAATTACTTAGAAACAAAAATTACTAAAATGGATCACGAACTCCTTATGAAATGTACACATAAACTCAAGAATGAAGCTCCACTCCAGGAGAGGTTGTTAAACTTTTTCTTTATTCGTTCTATCCGTCATTTTAGGAGTGTCTGTTCCGTGAACACCGAGGTGTTAACGATCGTTGACACATTACACAGAATGGTAGCAAACACGTACGACAAACGTGATTTACCTGCCGTAACGGAATTATATTGTACGGAATTCAAACTGTTGGAATATTAGTGGAAGACAACACGTTCAACGACTTTGACCTTTCTTAGAAATTGTTGAGACAACACGGTGCGTAAGGTCTTCCTTGTTTTTTTGGAAACGAAAGACATAAAAAATTAACAAAATGAAAAGGTACTTAGCAAACAGATAAAAATTAATCGAGATGTAAAACCACTTCGAATTTCTATTGAAAGATAAATCAACATGACGACCGCCGAATAAAATTCCGCAAAGAACCAAGAACCAGGACACCCAACAATCATAAAATTAAATTATATGCAAAAATAGGGGATATAACCACATAGAAGTTACACCGAATTAAATTAAAATCTAAGTGCAATACAGGGTACGGAACCGTACCGACTAGATATTTTATCGTTTTTCATCAAATTAACTCATGATATTCTATCGACGGGTTTAAAACAACTCATCTCACATAAATTCTCGAACACACAGATCTGCAAAAGAAGAGGCATACCAAGTTTGATACAAGGATAAAAATTTGAAAATCTAATTCTTGGACACAACACGGACTCCAAGGAGATATCGACAAGTACAAGGGAAGGAAGGAAACCGCAGATATTATCTACACGCTTCATTGGATATAAGGACACAAACTTTTGCCGACGGAGAGAATTTTCGGACATACAGCGACCAAGAGAACATCAAGACGATAAGAGTGATCAACGATGACGAGCATACGATGATATAAAGAGATTGTAGGTACTAGGGTTCAACCGGAAAAAATAATATTTGGGCGGAGGGTATATATAATGTTGATAATGGCTGGAATGATTACCTGAGCAGAGAGGTAGAAAGGTAATCGTGATAATATCTGTCGCATATCATGAACATGACATGTATTATGTGAAATTAATGTCTCGCACATGTTGTCAAATATTACGAGTATTTATCTTTTTTTTTTTTTTTTTTTTTTTTTTTTTTTTTTTTTTTTTTTTTTTTTTTTTTTTTTTTTTTTTTTTTTTTT